CTTTACCATGTTTATAGTGGCTAAATCCCTCCTCTTCTCCTCTAGCAGTCATGATTTGAACAAACTTGCTTCTGCTTGCCTAGTATAAATCATGTCTTTGTTGTTCTGGAGAAGATGATTTTTTTCTTAATTCCAGTACATTGTATTACAATGTAAAACTAAAACCCCCTTATGTGGCCACACCCTACCCACAGGGTCTTGGTTTCTATAATCTGCTTGAATTTACACTACCTGAGGATCCTTGGATAACAACCCTTTATTATGTCCCTGCTGGTGTTGAGGAAATTTTAAATAATTATGTGTAACAGTTACTATATATTTTTTATCTATTAATTCTTATGTAAAACTTTAATCCCTTATTTTATCCCTTTCTTACCCAGAGGGTCATGATTTGAACAAGTTTAAATCTGGACTGCAAACAAATTAAGAAAGGAAATCTTTTTTTTTTCTTCAGGAACACAGTGCAGTGTTACATTTCTTAGTATGTCATGCCAAACTGGCAATTCAATGGAGTAGGTGATCTTTATTTCCTGATGAAAAGGGAGGGGGGGGGGGGCTTCTCAGAGTCAAAGTTTGTCTTTTCATATCATTTTTAAGAGTATGTAGACTCCAGGGCTAGGACTTTATATAATATCATCTTAAGAGTATGTATAGACTCTGGGGCTAGGACTTTTTAAACATTATTTCATGTGTGTACATGTAACAGGAAAGGAGAAAATGTATTGATGGGCCGAGAAATAAACCCAGGACCCCTGTATCACAAGTCTAAGTAGTCAGATGCTCTACCAACTGAACTATTGAGCTATCCAGGCCAATATACACAGCACAAACAATTACAAGTACGTAGACCCGATGCAAGGCTAGTTATTTAACATTTTTTAAGAGTACATATGGTAGTAAACCTCAAAGCTAAAACTTCATCAAATATTATTTTTAAGAGTATAATTTAACACATAATTATTTATAAAAAAAAAATATAAATATATGTATACCCTGGTACTAGGACTAATTCAATATAAATTGTAAGAATATGTAAACCACCAAGCTTGGAGTTTCTTAATTTCATTTTTAGCTCACCTGAGCCGAAGGCTCAAGTGAGCTTTTCTGATCACTTTTTTTGGTGTCCGTCTGTCTGTCTGTCTAGCTGTCCGTCCGTCTGTAACTTTTCACATTTTCAACTTCTTCTCAAGAACCACTGGGCCAATTTTAACCAAACTTGTTACATCCTTGGGTAAAGGGAAGTTTAAATTGTTAAATTGAAGGGCCAAGTCCCCTTCAAAGGGGAGATAATCAAGAAAATACAAAAATTGAGTGGGTTCATTAAAAAATCTTCTTCTGAAGAACCACTGGGCCAGAAAAGCTGAAACTTATGTGGAAGCATTCTGGGGTAGTGTAGATTCTAAATTGTTCAAATCATGACCTCGGGGGGGGAGGGCAGGGCCACAATAGAGAATCCAATTTTTACATTGAAATATGTAGTAAAATCTTGAAAAATCTTCTTCTGAAGAACCACTGGGCCAGAAAAGCTGAAACTATTGTGGAAGCATTCTGGGGTAGTGTAGATTCTAAATTGTTCAAATCATGACCACCGGGGGTATGGCGGGGCCACAATAGGGAATCCAAGTTTTACATTGAAATATGTAGTAAAAATTTTAAAAATCTTCTTCTCAAGAACCACTGGGCCAGAAAAGCTGAAACTACTGTGGAAGCATTCTGGGGTAGTGTAGATTCTAAATTGTTCAAATCAAGACCCCTGGGGGCAGGGCGGGGCCACAATAGGGAATCCAATTTTTACATTGAAATATATAGTAAAAATCTTTAAAATCTTCTTCTCAAGAACCACTGGGCCAGAAAAGCTGAAACTATTGTGGAAGGGGGGAAGCATTATGGGGTAGTGTAGATTCTAAATTGTTCAAAATCATGACCACCGGGGGTACGGCGGGGCCACAATAGGGAATCCAAGTTTTACATTGAAATATGTAGTAAAAATTTTAAAAATCTTCTACTCAAGAACCACTGGGCCAGAAAAGCTGAAACTTCTGTGGAAGCATTCTGGGGTAGTGTAGATTCTAAATTGTTCAAATCAAGACCCCTGGGGGCAGGGCGGGGCCACAATAGGGAATCCAATTTTTACATTGAAATATATAGTAAAAATCTTTAAAATCTTCTTCTCAAGAACCACTGGGCCAGAAAAGCTGAAACTATTGTGGAAGGGGGGAAGCATTCTGGGGTAGTGTAGATTCTAAATTGTTCAAATCATGACCACCGGGGGTAGGGCGGGGCCACAATAGGGAATCCAAGTTTTACATTGAAATATGTAGTAAAAATGTTAAAAATCTTCTTCTCAAGAACCACTGGGCCAGAAAAGCTGAAACTACTGTGGAAGCATTCTGGGTTAGTGTAGATTCTTATTGTTCAAATCATGACCTATGGGGGTAGGACAGGGCAAAAATAAATAAGTACTATTGGGGGGGGGGATCAGGTGAAAAACAGCAAGGCCAAAGTTACTCAGGTGAGCATTGTGACCCATGGGCCTCTTGTTTTTCCTAATGAACTGCCTAGGCACAATTTATATATTATTAATATCCAAACAGCATCAAGTAGTGCATATAATTCCATCATTTTCCATATCAATTCCTGCATTATGATGTCAATTCCTGTATTATCTATATCAAGATGATCAATTCTTGTATTATCTATATCAATTCCTGTATTATCCATATCAATTCTTGAATTATCTATATCAACATGATCAATTCCTGTATTATCTTTATCAATTCCTGTATTATCTTTATCAATTCCTGTATTATCTATATCAATTATCTTTCATAATTCCTGTATTATCTATATCAATTTCTGTATTATCTATATCAATTCCTGTATTATCTATATCAATTATCTTTAACAATTCCTGTATTATCTATATCAATTCCTGTATTATCTATATCAATTATCTTTAACAATTCCTGTATTATGTATATCAATTCCTGTATTATCTATATCAATTCCTGTATTATCTATATCAACATAATCAATTCCTGTATTATATATATCATTTCTTGTATTATCTATATCAATTCCTGTATTATCTATATCAATTTCTGTATTAGCTATATCAATTCCTGTATTATCTATATCAATTCCTGTATTGTCTATATCAATTCCTGTATTGTTTATATCAATTCCTGTATTATCTATATCAACATGAACCATTCCTGTATTATCTATATCAACTCCTGTATTATCTTTATCAATTCCTTTATTGTCTATATCAGTTATCTTTAACAATTCCTTTATTATCTATATCAATTCCTGTATTATCTATATCAATTCCTGTATTATCTATATCAATTATCTTTAACAATTCCTGTATTATGTATATCAATTCCTGTATTATCTATATCAATTCTTGTATTATCTATATCAATTATATTTAACAATTCCTGTATTATCTATATCAATTCCTGTATTATCTATATCAATTCCTGTATTATCTATATCAATAAGTGAATCAACAAAGAAAGAAGCATTTTATTGTTGAAATTGTAATCATTAAGATACTTGTTTATCAACCCCACAGATTAGGCATAAATGCATTATCTCTACCTGTACACCAGAGTTTTACAAGTACATTGTATACATATATATAGCATTATCTCTACCTGTACACCAGAGTTTTACAAGTACATTGTATATATATATATATATATATATATATATATATATATATATATATATATATATATATATATATATATATATATATATATATATATATATATATAGCATTATCTCTACCTGTACACCAGAGTTTTACATATCTATCTATCTATCTATCTATCTATCTATCTATCTATCTATCTATCTATCTATCTATCTATATATATATATGTTAATGTTCTGATTTTATTTTGACAGATTTCTCAGGATGTGGTGTGCAGTTACAGTTAATCATTAAGAGGATGAAGAAATCAACTTTGTTACAGGTTTTTGTAAGCAATAATAAAAAAATATACTAGACAAAATACATGTATACATTACATTTGTAGATGCAGTGTTGCACATTTGAAAAATGTTGACATCTTGGACTTGCTTTGTAAAAAAAAAAATGGTTAAAACATTGAAGATTAAAGCTGTCATTTGAATTTTGTAATTTCAAAATGAAGACAGAATTTTGTCATTATCAAATAAAATAAAGGAAATGAAATATATATATATATATAATTATATTTAAGAATGATTAGTAATACATGTAATGTTCTTATTTTCTTTCCCCAGGACACAGAAACAAGATGAACAGAAGTCATCCAGTTTTTACCAGATACAAGAAATTAATATGGTACAAAAGTATTTCTCTGTTACGCTATATAACTGTGTCAACACACTCTGTAACCGCCATACAATGTACCTATCTAAAGAGTGTGGCATTCCATAAAAAAAGTCTACATTTAATTTTCCACAACTTTATAACCTATGAATTAATATACATGTATATGAAAGAAAGCGGTGTGATTATATTTTTTTTATACATGTAGTTGATACATTTGACTTGAAATGGTAGACATGATTTTAAATGATAATCTGTAAGAATTAAAATCTTCAGAATTTTTAACATTAATACATTGTATGTTTTATTCTATCAATATTTTATTTTAGATGTAAATTTCATCTTGAGTACTTGGACCCTGCTCCTTATAGAGACATTGAAAGAGTTCAGCACCCAGTGTAAAGGTTGTTTTATATTTGTGTTAATTTTATCAATGTTTATTAATTGTAAACAGAGACAAGTTATTGTTCTAAATTTAATTATATGAAGTGTATAAAGAAACAAAATGTTGATCTAAAACATTTAATTCTGTGTAAAAAGAGACCTATTACTGATGTAGATAATTCTAGTACAATGTTGTAATTTACAGAGTAATCTCCCTGACTTAGGAAATCAACACGGGATTCTGTTATGGAGTTAAACCATAGGATAAAGACGAAATAAATGTCTGCTGTAAATGATGTATAGATTTGTGTTACAGAAATCTGTTACAGTGACAGGTGTTAGGTATTGTAGTCACATTTCCCATGTATCATCAGACCGGGTCTGGATCAGTTATGGTAACAATCTCATCTTGACAAACACAGCAGGTGATAAACTACATCATCTGACAGGTATAGGTAGTGGTTATGGAGTACACACAGTGACAGGTGACGGTGATTTAATTTATATAGACAGTGAGTTTAACATCAACAAACTGTCTATAGATAACAAAGTAAAGTGTACATTAATAAAGTACAACACAGCACCATGGGAACCAGTGTGTGTCTACAGCTCCCCCTCCTCTGGAGACCTGCTGGTCGGGATGAGGAATACTAATACAGATACAAGCAAGTTAGTGTGGTATAAAGGGAAGTTAGTGCGGTATAACTCCACAGGACAACACATCCAGACCATACAGCATGACCGCCACACAGGTGAAGAACTGTATAGATGGCCTATATACATCACAGAGAGCAGTAATGGAGATGTTATTGTGTCTGACTTTCACAGTGATGCTGTAGTGGTGACAGATTGGGGAGGAAGACATCGCTTCTACACAGGACGCCCATCGGGATCACGACTATTACCACGTGGGATCTGTACAGACGTGCTGTCACACATCCTGGTGTGTGATTTTAAAACCCAAACAGTACAGATGATTGAGTCTAATGGTAACTTCCTGTCACAATTAAAGACGCCACCACACGGGATAGACTCACCATGGGGCCTGAGTTATGATGATAGAACATGCCTACTGTGGGTAGGGTCAGACGACGACACAGTAAACATATACAGAGTGGTAGGTGGACACTCTCTAACTGGTAAGTAACATTGTAGTTTGTTTAATTGTATCTTATATTTATAATATCAATAAAAAATAATATAACCACATTATATTATAATTAGGGATGTCATTTAAGAATAACTATAGAGAATTTTTATATATATACCTCTATACAAGAGTGATTATGAAATATTTAGTTTCATTATCAATTATTTATTGTACAGTTTTTAAATTATATAAGTAATAACGATGAATTATTTATGATTAGATAAAAAAGAAATAAAGTATTTACATATTTAATTAAATGTTTGTGTAGTTAGCTAGATTAGGGAGGATTATATTACTCAGACATTGTGTTTAAATATAAAATGTCGACTTTTTTCCCCTGTTTACTCCATTATGTTTTCTCAGAAACTTTTTACAAAAAGTATATACACAGATGAATGACTGACAAGTTATAATATTAAAAAGATCTATATGAATTGTCTTCTTACAACATACAGACTGAAATATAATATGATATATACTTGGTAGAATGGTATATCGTGGTGTTATGGTATTACAATCATGTAACTGTCAAATTTCTATGGTGGATTTTGTGTTTTCTTTAGGTTAGACATGCATGATATAATCTGATTAAAGATGCAGAATTACATTAATTCAGAGTACAGTATGATGAAATACTGAAGAATAAGGAAGGATTTATTTAGTATGAGGAATATCTGAAAAATAAGGAAGGATTTTTTTTAGTATGAAGAATATCTGAAAAATAAGGAAGGATTTTATTTTAAAGTGGAGAGGTAAAGTGTGATACTTCATTCTAATTTGCTAGCTAAGACTTAATTGTTTATCTTTTTAATTACTTGTACAAAATCCCTGGTGGCTTACTATTAAATTTGATGTATTTAGTCAAGTAAAGGTAATTCTACATTCAGAAACTGACATCAATGAAACAGTATAAGAATGGTCAGGTCAAAAAAAAAAAAAAAAAAACAAGATGTGTTTGTGAAACACTGATGCCCCCATATGGCAACTTATAGCAAAGGTTAAACTTTCTCAAATGCAAATCAAATATGTTGGTACCCATAGTAAGGTCTTGTCTCGAGGAATATACCTGTGAAATATGAAAGTCCTAGCAGCAACCATTGAATAGATATGGAAAAGGTTAAAGTAATTCAAACATCAAGGTCAAGGTCAAATGGTCAAAATTAATGGTGCCTAAGGAAAGACCTTCTCACAAGAAATATGTAGGTGAAATATGAAAGCTGAAACATCCATCGTTCAAAAGTTATGACCAAGGTTAAAGTGTTTCAAAAGTAGGTCAAACTCCAAGGTCAAGGTCAATGGATTACAATTGTTGGTATCCAAAGGAAGGTCTTGTCACAAGGAAAAAACATGTTAAATATGAAAGCCCTAGCAACAACTTTTCAAAAGTTGTGTCCAAGGTTAAAGTTTTCGAAAAGTAGGTCAACCTCCAAGGTCAAGGTCATGGGGTCCAAGTTGTTGGTATCCAAAGGAAGGTCTTGTCACAAGGATTACATATGCTAAATATGAAAGCCTTATCACCAACCGTTCAAAAGTTATGGCCAATGTTAAAGTTTTTCAAAGGTAGGTCAAACTCTAAGGTCAAGGTCAAATATGGTGGTACCCGAAGAAAGCTCATGTCACAGGAAGTACACCTGTGAAA